TGAGGCTACAATGTCACCAATGTGAATCTTCAAAAACTAAATTTGGTTTGAAGAAGGTTATGCTCCTGTAAATCGTTATAATTCTATGGGGTATTCTGTGCTGTCAGTGTGTTCACATGTAACTTACCGACTGCAGTTGCCCACTGCCAGTGCATGTGGTGGTGATCAAGTACTGTGTAGTTTTTGCCCTGCGTAATAGTTACAGGTGCCAGCTCTCTACTTTCAAGCCTGTTAAGGCTTGCGTAGGTAAATGGTGAGTGCTTGACCTATTCTGTCTATGCAAATAAGTATTTGTTGCGTACTACCGTAGCGATGGGAGCTTCCATCTTTAATCTTAAGACACTTAAACGACGTGCCATCCTCGTGGCAACTTCATAACGATCCCAACGAAACATTCCTTCGAGAAGGCGTTGCCTTGATAACCGAATCCTAGGCCTTCCACTGTTTCGGCCGCATGGAACACATTTGGACTAAAACACTCCCGGGTTTACTGAAATCCCAGCGCCGACTCCACCACCAGAAGTTCCGGACAGAGGACGTGAGATGAGCGCTGTCGCCCGCGCACTTGTTTAATGTTACAGATGGCGAAGCCATGGCAACCACGTAAACTGGGGTCCACGTGACAGTCTGATTCATTTTTAAACACTGTTCATAATCAGTGTAATTGGGCTTGACTATGCCTCGTGTTGGGCGTTTTCCGACTTAAAGTTATGTAAATCTGGGAGACCTACCACTAGCGTGGTGACTGTATCTACATTGGGTTTCGTTGCTGCCTGGTTGCATCGCACACAGCAAACTCGTCACACACCATTCCCAGCGATTCTAGGACAACTACCCCCTGGACAACTACGCACCCGGCACCGACAACTATCCCCCGAACACCTACCACCAAGGAAATTACCCACCAGGAGAAGTTACCCACCGGAGCCCCAGATTTACCCACCCAAGACAATTACGCCACACAGGACAATTACCCACCAGGACAATTACCCCCCAGACAATTACCCCACAGACAAATACCCCCGGTACGAATTACCCACCAGGACAGACAATTACCCACCCAGGCACAATACGCCCACCTAACCTTTCCAATAAGGGAAAAATCCCCCCTTCCGTGAAATTTTGTCCGTGCATAATCATCCTGAAAATTTAGTCTGGAAAAGAGAGAAATGGCCTACCCCAGTGTGTTCAGAGAAGCAGCGGTCGTCGATAATTTGGGAGAGGGGGGGGAGTCACCGCTTAACCGCCTCGCCATAATGACGGACATGTGTTATTCCCTAACTGACTAGCTTGCTCATGTACGTATGTTATGTAATTCTGTTTGTGGCGTATGTGCGTATATGTGGCTGTGCTGTGTGCGCGTGCGTGCGTGGCTGTGTGTGTACGTGAGTGAATATGACTGATTTACAAGCAATTGATTACAAGATTTAATTACTTGTGTGAAGTGGGGGGGGGGGGCAATGCCCACAAAAATGCGTTTTTATTTTGATGCACAAATAGTGCAATTTGAACGTCATTAATTCTAAAAGGTCATGCTATCTGCATTTTTCGCTAGCATTATTTCTAGTAGGATTGATGATATTTTATCAGCAATAGTTGGCACCACATGTGCAAATTACATCCACTAGTTACTGCAAAAATATACGTACTTATGTCATTTTCACAGCGTGAGTATATAAAATTGCGTTTTATAATGGTCATGTAATCTGGCCACTGTGTGAAGTACTGTATATTTGCATATGTACAGTACCCTTCTTCAACTTGTGAAATAGTTATAACAATAATTTCAGACAGTGCTGCGCAAAAAAATGAAACAATGGCATCTCTGAATCTTGTGTAATTGAATAGATATTATGTGACTAACAGTTTCGCTTAATACATAAGTCGGCAAATACTTAATTAAGTTCAAAATATCGGCAGTGAATCAGCAGAATGGTTGAATTTGAAATTATGAATCATGAAGTGGTCCTTTAGAATGAATCATCAATTACTGTAACGGTGGTTGTGTGTGGGGTGGGGTGGGGGGGGGGCGTAGCGGTATGGGAGGGGGGGTGGGGTTTAAATTGCCCTGAGGGGGGGGTAATTGTCCGATGGTCGCTGGTGTAATTGTCCCGGCGTGGGTAATTGTCTGTGTGGGTAATTTCGGGGGGTAGTTTGTCCTATGGGTAATTGTCCTGGTGGGTAATTGTCTCTGGTTTAATTCGTGCTGGTGGGTAATTGTCCGGGTGGGTAATTGTCCAGTGGGTAGTTGTCCGGATACGATTCCCAGCATCAATCCAGGTTGCAGTTAGGAAACAGTCGAGACTTCATTCACTTAATCTATGCACATCGTACCTAGTGTCCACCTGCATATATCTCTGTTTGTGAGCGGGAGATATATCCATCTATCTATGCTTAGCAGAAGGTGGTTATTATCAAAAGAATATAAGGGTTTTGTAGCGGTTTATGCTATTTATATACTCGCCCTTGATAATTCCCATATATTATAATGATGGACTTGCCCCTTTTAAAGAGTTTTAATGGCTAAATGATTACAGCTAAACATCTATGGTTTAATTCTCTCGGTGAAGTGGGTGCTAACGTGCTACTGTGTACCCCTTGCAGTTGCAGAAGATCTAGAAGAGCTGCTCATAGATCGATAGCGATTGCTGTGAATTACAGTGTCGCGAGCCCTTTCCTCGTGCCGTACGATTGCTTAGTTAGCAACTCTCGAGTGCTCGGCTGTGTGCCGGCAAGTGCCTCCTGAAATGTTCGTCATCCCGATTCTCGCTTGTACGGTTTCGTCGATGGTTGCATTTGCTTGCGCCTGTCTTGACGCTGACGAGTTCGTTCATATACTCGGTGCGTGCTTATAATTGGCTGCACGTATAAGGAACTAACACCGATCCTCGTGGTATTGTGCATTAAACAAGTATCATGTCGGTGCGTCTTACGCATGTGATGCATCTTGTGTGTCATGAATACACAGTTCTTGTGTAATGTGTGACACACAAGTTTCACATCTTGCGTGTTCGAACTTTATTGTATCTAGTTCTATAGTGTATTACATAAGTATCCTGACTATGTAAATCTCTGTCTCTCTCTCTCACGCTCTCTCTCTCGCTCGTCTTGCATTCATTCTCTCTCTCTCTCTCTCCCCTCTCTCATCTCTGAGGCCTCTCTCTCTCTCTTTTCCTCCTGTCCTCTCCCCTCGATCTCTTTCTTTATCTCTTTCTCCTCTCTCCCTCTCTCTATCTCCCCCTTTCTCTATTGTTCTCCCTCTGTCACTCGCTTCCGACTCTCTCTCGCTCTTCTTTTCTTTCTCATGCTCTATCGCTCTTCCTCCGTTTCTCTCTCATGCTCGATCTCTCCTTCTCCGTTTTACTCTCTTGCTTGATCTATCTTTCTCCCTCTTTCCCTCTCTCCCTCTCTCCCACTCGCCAGGGGAGGAACACGTACACGCGCCGTATTCTGTATGGCAGCTGCTCACGTCAGAGACCTACAACAACGTTGTCACCGCGTTTCTAATCAAATTGCTCTCACGTCGTTACAGCTTCTGCTTATCCTCTTCACCGTGCTCAGGAAGACGGCCTGGAACTACGGTCGGCTCGCTCTCGTGCCGCAGAGCGAGCAGAGGTGAGTCCCTCGTCGATGGTACGGAAGCTGCGATGTTGCTAGAGTACAGCCTGCAGCGGAGGATGCTCGGTTGTTGCATCTCCTAGTTGCATGCGCGGCTCATGCTGTAGTTGCGAGTTCACTGTTCTGTGGGTGCATGCGTGCGTGAGTGCGTGCGTGCGTTAGTGCGGCGTGTATGTGTTGTGTGGCGTAACGTGGCGTTGTTTGCGTGAAATCAAATTGTTGCGAATGTTGCGTGTCAGAAATCATTTATGAGTTTCTAGGTAGAATGAAGTGATGTGTCCATGTATATATAATATACACTTGTTTCTGCTACTTCTCATAAGGAGCAGTTCAGTTGTCATTGACTGTATAAGTTGTAAGTTTGTAACTATAATAAGACAGTTTGTTTTAATGTCTAGAAATAATTACGTATAGGCGGTTACCATTCGCTCATCCACTAGCTATCTGTGAAGCACTATGTAATCGGCGTGGTTAGTTCACTCTGTCGATTTATTCTGTCAAAATACATTTAGAAGGGTTTCGTTGATTAGCCGACGTAAGCACAGTTACGATCAAGCAATCCCAGTCTACATGTCACCGCGGATATAAATGGTACTGTGAGAGCGGGACGTACTATAGTATGGCCAATCAATAGTAATGGTGTTATATACGACTACGAGGTGACATACATCCTGATCGTATATAACGCCATAGTGAATATAACCCAGTTCCAGTTGTTTCACGTGCCAGAGCTTTCCCTGGTACAAAAAAACTCGTGTTAGTATGGTTTATATTTTTATTTTATGAGATGCTATATATTTAATTACATTTTAATATCTACTAATTGTTATAGTTAGTAGTTATTTGTTCTCCCCAGTTAGCAATTTCATTATTAAACTAGCCGGATAAAGACGTTATTAATAAAACAACTGGTGACAAAGACACGATTTGCTTTACAAGGAAATCGTGATTTCTTCTCACCGTTTCCCAACGTATTAATATGCGTCTGCGCACGCAAATAAACTAATAACTGCCAAAACGCTCTGCGTTCAACTCAACCCCACCTTAAATCGTCGATTAGTGCGTTTGTAAACGCGATAATACGAGCTGTCAATGTCGTTTATGATGGGTGTTGCGATACGGCTGCCGCGTGCCCCCGGCCGACCATCATAATGACTTCATCAGTATAAGCTTCGCTCGCTGCCTCGCAAGGCACTCGCGGATATACTGACCCAGATAGAAAGAACGGTGATCGTCTCGCCGATATAGAATCGGCACACGCCGAAAAACACGGACAAATTACGAGGTTGTGTCAATGCGTGCTGCACTTGAGAGCAGCGTGTGCGCGCGTGCGTAGTTTTCCAACGTCCGCGAGGCCCGGCGGAATCGTACATGTCACTGTATACGTCGCGCACGATGTTTTATTGATGAGAAATCCCTCGTATCGAGTGAATTGGCTCCAATGTTGTGCAGACTTGTGAGTATATACTCTGGTGCTGATAGCGTCGTCGTATATCTGGTGATTCATCGACGGCAGAAAGCCGGCCGTCTTACGTTCGAAGCTGCCCGCGATGTGCATCTTCTTTATACCTGCAATATTACACTGCATGGATGCATACAGTTATCCAGAGTTTAAATTGCACCTCTCTCTCTCTCTAATTACGCGTGTTCAGTATGAATGAGCTTCCGCGCTTTGTTTTTCCCCCAACCCCATGCAGCGGTTGGTTTCATGCTATCAGGAGCCCATAAATTGGATAAATTCTATAATCTATATATATCAGTCATGTAATCTGGATATTATCGCATTGTTTCAGCTTGTTTCAGCTTTGGTGGGCGGTGAGGTTTCTAAATCAATGCACCCAATTATCTACATATTTTTCCCACATACAATAACACATCAACAATCAGATGCGTATAGTTGATGCCAAATATTCAAAATAATATTAAAATAATATTATAATATAATCAAATGCAGCATTGCCATATAAACCTGGCCTGTGTATTTTGAAGTCACTATAGTCGAGTCTAGTGGTATGGTGTCGCTAGGTGATGTGTACGTATGTGGTGTGTACTTACGCAATAGTTTAATGTCGTGAAAAGTTCGTATATGCTGATTATTGCCCGTCCCTATGATTTCTCCTGCATGCGTTGATGTTGTAGCTGTCGGTGTTTAACGTGTGGTTTCTCTGTTCCAGGTCACTAGTCAGGAATAGCAGTGGATATAATGTGTGAGCTTAGTTTTATTTTTATTTTCATTTCATCTATGATAACTATTATTAGCGCCTATACGTACGAATATGCACTTAAGTTTTTTCTTGTAAACCAAGCACCTATTTTACTTTAATTCCTTTTCTGGCTGCACGGCATGCTATAATTTTTTACTTGTATGGGACGTGATTCTACTTAGTAGATTGTATTTATGTTGTTGATATATATATGCGATTTGTAATGTCATTGGTAATAATGCTGCTGCTACTTGAGGGCTGATTCAGGTAAGACTTGGTAAGATATATTATTCAAATCATTATCCCCTCGTAAATTCCATGACAACATAGTTTATATACAATTGTCGTTGAATAATAGATAGGGGGGACCATGCATACAGGTGTTCCATTTTCCTATTCACTTGTTAGTGTAAATGATTAATGACCTGTGTACATTTTTGAATTGGAACATTTAAGTACGTGTTGAGCTTACTTGCTGCCTTTGTCATTCGCCAAGTTTCTGAGAAACTGAACGTATATAGGGATAAATAAAACCAATATATATACAAATATATATATATATATATATATGTATATATATAATATATATATTATATATATGGCCTTTAAACAAAAGCCATTATTTGATTGCGTTCAATACATTATAAAAGCTGAATTTTTAATAGTTTTTGAAACTTTACACTCGATTTTCACTTGGCATGAGCACGTGATGAGGTCTCGTTGTATTATAAAAAATCTAAGTCACACTTTCTACCGATCTATATATAGCACATATTATATCTTCCATCAGCGGTATCTGCATGCACGGCCCTTACCTCGCCTCGCGCTATAGATTAAACATTCAGTATGAGGAATATGACTGGCAGTAGTACGTGTGTATTGGTACTGTATGATGGGGTTCACACGACAATTATACAGTGGGCTGAGATGGTAGAGTGCAAATCTATGATGACACATGAATATTTCATTTAGCTAGTCTACCGTTCTCTGTCACTGTACGCAATTATTTACGTGGATAATAGGTGGCACCCAATCTACATATATCTACTTATTTACATGCATATTATTAATGCATATGCATGCATGCATGAGTTTCATCTTGTTGAAAGTATTATGCAATTTGCAATGAGCTAGGTCTACCTTATTATTGATACTAGGATATTAGATTGAATTTTTTTAATTACACACTTGTTTCCGTTACACACGCACGCACACGAATAATGATCGATCCAAATTGAACTAGAGCACTCGGAGAGCGCAGACCTCCGCCAAGACAACTGTGAAAAATTTAATTAATTAATTAATTAATTAAATAATTAATTGCATCCGGATCACCACCAAAATGTAATCAATTCTAAGTTACCCCATTTCTGACGTATCCTGAAAATTTAATTAATTAATTAATTAATTAATTGGATCGGGATCACGACAAAAATGTAATCAATTGTAAGTTACCCCATTTCTGACCTATATCCTGAAAATTTTATTAATTAATTAATTAATTAATTGGATCGGG